GCCTGGTCCCTTTGGCCCTTCATGATCACACATGTTGGTGTGCTTCTTCCATGTGGGCTTTGTTGCTTCTGGGCTAGATGGCCGCTTGTTTACTTTCCAAGTTGTAGTATTTTCATGTCTTAAATTTTTATGTTTTTGGTCTTTGCATTCTACATTTTCCGTAAATCTTTATATTTCCTATGCTTAACCAGTAAATTCAGTAATAATGCATAATAAGCAATTCTTCTAATTGAACTACAGTTTTGGACCAATGAAAGTATTTTAAATCAGATACTCAATACTTCTAAAAAAAAGAACATACCTATTTAAGTTTAATACCAACACCAAAAATCCATTACCATGGAGCAGAACACATTTTCTCCCAGGGAGCAGTTGATAGATTTGAACTGCTCATTGAACATAAATGTATCAGCGATTTGGTCTCAGTCAATATTATAATTAAAAATTAATTTGAGCGTTGATGTAAGCAGTCAAGTGATTCTCCATTACACCAATAAGGCTCCTTTTAAAGTTCAATGTGTGAAGAAAATTGGTTGAACTATGTCATTCTTACCTGACAGTTGAAGACGGTTGATTCGTGTCCAAGTCAGTAGCTATGAAGTCCCCCACTTGATAGTTTTTCCCCATATTGCCAGTTACGACATACGTCTTTGTACCCGGACGGAACACTGCGCCCTCGATCACATTTACCACTGTTACTGTGACAGCAGTGGCGGTGAGCTTATATTGAGACATAATCGATTGATGGAATTCGGCTTTGTTTCTAACACCAAGACTTAGTTGCAGGCTCTGCATCGCTTCATAATCTAGGGGCTAGGAAAGAGAGAGTAAAATATTTTTATGGTAAAAAAGAAAGCACTCTAGAGAAGAGAAGTCCTTTGGAAATGGTAAAAACCCAAACTGAAACAACCCACTGGAAAAATTCACTTCTCTTTCTTTGATTAATTATAAATTAAGAGAAACACATAAGCTACTCTTATTTTCTACTTAATTAAATATACACATATTCAAATATAGTAGGGAAAAAATTAAATTGGTCCTAGAGCCATAATTGGAAAAGTTGAAAGTGTATAACGTGAGCTTTAGCTGTTCAATAACTTAAAAACTTCTTAAAATAATAAAGGCATATGAGTTCTGGCATTTTGTAGAATACTCAAAGACAGGGATGTTAACTTCTATTATTTAATTTTTCTCAGAAAGGAGTTTTATCACAAAATATTGATCAAATACACTGGTGGTTCAATTATTTGATTGCTTTTACCCATAAAAATATTTAAAGAAATGTTCACTTCTGTAAAAGTACTTCTTTCAATAAATCAGGTAATTGAGTGTAATATCTGAAGAATATAAAGGTTTTCTCCATAATCTTGATAAAATGTATATCATATTATAAGATAATTTAATGACCAGTTTAATTATGAAAGATAGTGCCACTTTCCATGCACTCACATTCAAATCTGTAGGCATCTTTGCAACCATGCCCATAAAGAACAGCTCCATGTTTCTAAATTTTCATGTAATTTAAATGAACGATGGCCGACAGCTTGAACTCTCTTATTCAGCTAAAATCTTAAGCTATAATTTTGGCCTTCTTTGTTATTCAAAGAATCACCACAAAACCATCTCAATACATATATTGCATATGAATATTATATAAATACAACAGCAATAAAGGAATTAATATAAGATGTCACACCTGGAAGAAAATCAACATCATCCCTACTTTCTCACTGGAGAGACTGAAGACAGAATGGCTGACTACTTGTCTAATGGAACATAGCAGTTTGGCATGAAATGTGTATTGATTCCATTGTTCTGGCTGGAATTATAACTGGGTTGTGAACTTCCCAGTTCCCAGTGTGAACTTCAGGGCTAGAGATCTCTACGTTTGAATGTCAGCTGTACCACTTACAAGCCATGAGACCTTGGCTGATTATGTACTCTCTGAATCTCTGTGCCTTTACTTTCAGTATGCGCATGATCTTATCTAGTTGACAGAGATGCTGTGAGCGGTAGATTAAAACACCTGCACACTGTCTTAGTAACTGGAGCCACGGGCATACAGTCTCATGAAAATCTATGTGTCAGAATTGACTCTGACAGTAACTGACAATAACAGCGAATCAAATGAATATGCAGAAATGTGGCAACAAAAATCCACAGATAGGTTTCCCTAGGCTGTTCTGAAGGAAGAAAACAGTTGAAAAGAGATTGCATTTGACCATGAAAGAATACGTATTGCATGGTCAGTTACAATCCATGCACATTAATTGCAGGTTTTCAAAATCAAATCTACAAGCAGCACGTGGAGAAACCTTCCCTACCAACTCCCTAGGAGTCAGATCTTTTTCTCACACTTTAGAAGAAATCCAACTGCAGATACAGGTACGTGGTGGTTCAGTAATAGTCAACATAGACCAACTCTGTTGACCGGGACCAAAACTCAAGTCTACGTATGTTTTTTATTAGCATGGGTCAGCAGCCATAGTGAGATAGGAATGCAACAATCCCAAATTACAGTAATTTAATTTTATGAAAATGAAATCAATGTTTCATGTATGAGGGACCTTTGTGAGGTTTGTGGGAAAAATAAAATGAAAAGAGAATGGATTTTAAAAATAATCTTTTATGTACACTGGAACAGATAGGAACTGGAAATACAGTGAACCCAGGACAAATGAACCCCCCAGGACCAGTGGAGAGAGTGGCGATATCAGGAGGGTGGAGGGAAGGTGAGGGAGAAAGGGGGAACAGATGACTAGGTCTACATATGGCCTCCTCCCTGGGGGACGGACAGCAGAGAAGTGGGTGAGGGAGACGTCGGATGGGGTAGGATATGATAAAATAATAATAATTTATAAATCATCAAGGGTTCAGGGGCAGAGAGGAATGGGGAAGGAGGGGTGGCCGGGGGAATGAGGAGCTGACACCAGGAACTCGAGTGGAGGGCGGGTGTTGTGAGAATGATGAAGTCAACATATGTACTAATGCGCTGGACACAAGTGATGTATGTACGGATTGTGATGAGTTGTATGAGCCCCTAATAAAATTATTATTTTAAAAATGATCTTTTTAATATTGGGTCTCCACTCAAGTACTCCCTCAATGCAAGAATATTTTATTCTATTAAATTGGCATTCTGTGATGCTCACCTTCCCGACACAACCACTGAAGACAAAGTGGGTGAATAAGCAAATGTGGTGAAGAAAGCTGATGGTGCCTGGCTATCAAAAGATATAGCATCTGAGGTCTTAAAGGCTAGAAGGTAAACAAGTGGCCATCTAGCTCAGAAGCAACAAAGCCCACATGGAAGAAGCACACCAGCCTGTGCAATCATGAGGTGTCGAAGGGATCAGGTATCAGGCATCATCAGAACAAAAAATCTTATCATAGTGAATGAGGGGGGAGTAACGGAGTGGAGACCCAAAGCCCATTTGTAGGCATCTGGACTTCTCTTTACAGAAGGGTCTCGGGGAGGAGACGAGCCAGTCAGGGTGCGATGTAGCAATGATGAAAAATACAACTTTCCTCTAGTTCCTAAATGTTTCCTCCCTCCACACTCTCATGATCCCAATTCTACCTTGAAAGTCTGGCTAGACCAGAGGATGTACACTGGTACAGATAGGAACTGGAAGCACAGGGAATCCAGGACGGATGATCCCTTCAGGACCAGTGGTGTGAGTGGTGATACTGGGAGGGTAGAGAGAGGGTGGGTTAGAAAGGGGAAACCAATTACAAGGATATACATGTGACCTCCTCCCTGGGGAATGGACAACAGAAAAGTAGGTGAAGGGAGACGTCAGACAGGGCAAGATATGACAAAATAATAATTTATAAATTATCAGGGGTTCATGAGGAAGGAGGAGCGGGGAGGGAGGGGAAAAATGAGGAGCTGATGCCAGGGGCTTAAGTGGAGAGCAAATGTTTTGAGAATGATGAGGGTAATGAATGTACAAATGTGCTTTACACAATTGATGTGTGTATGGATTGTGATAAGAGTTGTATGAGTCCCTAATAAAATGAATTAAAAAACAAAACAAACAAAAAGTGATCATTTTAAAGCCCCCTCATACATTAAGAATAAGCTTGGTGCATAATAACTGATTTACAGTGTGACATGGGCACATTTTTAAAGTTTATGTGAATCTGTTTCAACTAACAGACGAAAAATATCTAAAACAATTTCTCAAGAATTCACCACCATTTTAGTGTAAGCCTATAATCAAATTCTTGTTTGAATATTCCTTCAATGTATAAGATCTGTGGGGAAGTACTATTTTTGTAGAGAAGAGTTTAAATTTTAATGCCTGGTTCCCCAAAATAATATAAAGAGAAAAAAACCCTTTTCCTATAAAACAAGCTCTATAGTAGACACTATTTTAAATCACAGGCTTTAACATTCTCTTACTGGTTCAAGTTTCTACAATATGAACATCATTTGATTTTAAGTTTACCATTTTGGAGGAAAAATAACAAAAATACATAGAAGATTTAGAATAATTATACCATACCTTGATAACCTTTAAAATTCCTGTATTTGTTCTTTCATTCATTTCTATGGCAAACCAACCCCCCTCATTTCCAGAGATAAAGAATATGTCCCCTATCCAGTTTGCTGAGTACTCCTCGTCCATGTCGATCACCCTCATCAGGAGCAGCTCTGAATAGAGGGCATTTTCTTCAATATTTATGGTATACTGAAATCAGAAGGGAAAGTAGCTTAAGACAAACTCTGAGTGAGAGTAGCAGAAGACTAGACATGCGCTAAACTAATTATAACTATTCCTTATTTAAAAAAAGAGATTGCTATTGGTCGTCTCATTTTCATTCAAATCCACCCCCGCATTCTATCAACTAACAACATTAAAAGATTGCATTGACTTAAGATGCATCCATAAATAGAGCTGTCTCTATATTAAGTAGAAAATGTAATGAATTCAAAGGTGTTCATTTCAGGAACAAAAACTTACTGTAGACTGTTCCAAGTAGGGGATGTTATCATTGACATCGAGTATTTTAATGCTGCATTCAACCTCTGCTGAAATGCCGTCGATGCCACCATCTCTATCTGAGCCTCTGACGGCAAGAGCATACTGGCTGTAGGTCTAAAAATGCACGAGACGAGCAATATAAAAGTTGATGCAGACAGACCTTACACGATCACATAAAAAAATCTTTGAAAAAGGTCATTAAAACCCTCAAATCCCACATGAACCAGTGCTGAATTCTCTATTTTCATTCCCAACAATACTTCTCCGGCTTCCTTTCAAAGCAGGAGCACATTGAAGACCTCATCATTTTATGTCGGAATATGCTCAGCGTTTCGGACTGCAATGGTCAGAAGGAGAGAGGATGGGCATCTTGAGCTCATTCCCTGGACCGCAGGTTACAAATCGCTACACTGGTGGCTTCAATGTCCCATTGCTTCGGACATCACTTTTGTCAGTTATTCACTTTTTTAACATTCAATGAATTTCATTGGGCTCTTTAAGTATTTTTGAGAGAGAGAAACCACACAATTTCTGATAATTTAACCAATTTCAAAAGGTGGTGAAATTGATAAGCAGTCAATTTCTGATAATTTAACCAAGTTAAAAGGTGGTGGAAGTAATGGAGGACATTTGGGTTGGATGACTGCTAAACAGAATATTGACCTATCCTAAACCTAGCAGGAAGCTGTCATTTTAAAACGACCACAACAACCTCACCGGAAAACTAAACCCATTGCCATCGAGTCGACTTCCGCGTTTGTGCTTCCAGGGCGTGAATCTTTACACAAGCAGCCAGCCTCGTCTTCCTCCCAGGGCCCAGGAGGTGGGCTCACGCCATCAGTGTTTGGGTCAGCAGCTGAGGGCTTTAACTCTTTCCCCAACAGAACGACACAAACCAAACACACTGCCATCGAGTCTGCTCTGACTCAGGCCACCCTTTAGGACAGGGCAGAATGACCCCTGTGAGTCTCAGCCTGTTGCACTTTCCCAGCGCAGAAAGGCCTGTCTTCTCTCGCAGGGCAAACTGGGGTTCAGACCGTGCCCACCGCCACCACTACTCCACCAGGGCCTCACTGCCCCGTGAGACACCCTGAAAGAAGTGTCCTCATTGAATTATAATTAATGAGTATCAAATAGTACAAAGTACTTCCTGATTTGTTTACCTAGTACATGGAGGCCAGCTTATTGTATCTAAAGTCAGTTTTGATTTTTTTTATAAGAAAAAGACATCTGCTGTCAAATGTTTGGGGTATGTTGAATTAAACAAAGATAAGCAAAATCTCTAAGTTTGTAAAGGTTTGATAAAGGAGCCTTTATCACGGGCAGATGCTTTGGTACTCCCCAGGACTGGGATATATTATCAAGTGTTTCTCAAACTTATGCTAGAAGATTTAAAAAACAATGGAACTTATTTTAAAAAAATACCATTTGAATGTACATTCAGGGAAATCTTTGAAAGCAAAGTAGGTTCCCATCTGACAATTTCTAGCTCTGGTCTTGTAGTGGCTATGCTTTGGACTGCTGAACGCCAAGTTAACAGTTCTACAGTACCTAACACTACAAGGGGGAAAGAGGCTTTCTTTTTCTGTAGAGGGGTATGTTCTCAGAAACCCACCCTGCCCTAGAGGATCACTATGAGTCAGAATCTACTCGATGACAGTCAGGGTGACTTTGACACAAAGTATAAATCGTATAAACGATACTACTGAAAACTGTTGCTGCATTACTATGTTTTGTATTCAAATGTAGCAAAATATTTTAATAATAAAATGATCTCTATGCCATGCATATTTTATGTGTTCTCCAAATAGAATTATCTTAGATTAAGCAAAATTGTAATAGGACCAAATGAAAAATGATTATATAGAATATACTTAAATTTCCTCATACTTTATTTATTATGTCACTACTATTTTTTGTGTGTGAAAAGACTATCAAAAATTAAAGTATCTTAATTTTTTCCCTTCTCTTTTCATAGGCATTTTTTATTGCTAGGATCAGTTCTTTGTAGGCTAAACAACCATTAAAAATATGAAATACCTCTCTATCTAGAAAATTATTCATGGTTCTAATTTCTCCAGTATATCTGTTGATAATGAACATTGGTGAATCAGAAGGTTCTTGTCGTATGATCTTGAAGGCGATTTTTGAGTTCAGATTATTTGGTTCATCTGCATCCGTAGCATTGATTATCATCACCAGGGTATCTAGAGAACAAGGAAAGCAGATTACATGTAGGCAGTTTACCTTTTGGTCATAGTATCATGTATCACCTTGCCAACATGGTTTCAGGGTCAGTTGGTCCGCAGAGTGGGCACTTTACCATCTTCCCTGTAGGCTCTTTCAACACCTCAATGCTTTATCTCCCTACCACACTTTACACATTTTACTCTGACCATAGACCTAACTGAGAAATGAGAAACGAAGAGTAAGTGTTATTCTGGCTTTCGATTTCTTATTCTAGTACAATCTATTTCTTTCTTTTTGGTACACCTTTGTCTCTTCCAGCTGCGAAGGTGAAGCTAAATGATAATGAGAAAGGGCTACTCTTTTCCCAGGTTGGCACCTTCTAACTCTGTGATCAGTTTCCACACTTGTAATAGCACCACCTTCATTGAATTCAGGTAAGAGTCAAACAGCTTGATGAGGGAAAATGATATAAAATAGTTATATTGAATAATGTAGGCTCAATAAATAGTACATATTAATATTTTTCTGTTTTGCCAAGTACAAGGTTACTAGTAGGTTGAAAGACTAAATACCACCCTCCCACCCCCACCCCAGCCCCTGCAACTCAACTCACGGGTTGTAAAGAGTGGCCTGGAAGTTAGTATATACGTGTTTGCTTAAAAAAGTAGGTTACTTACTTGCATTTGAGTTTTCTTCTATTTGTCCTACAAATGTAGACATAGAAAATATGGGAGGGTTGTCGTTTATATCCAAAACCCTGACTCTGAGTTCAAGAGGCCGCTCTAAATCCTGACCCAGTGAATTCAGAGCCCGGCAATAGATCTAGAGGAGAAAGAGCAACAGTTACCAGGGTCACAGTGGTTGAGTCCATTCTCACTTTGGGAAGTCTGCTAGGCATTGTGGGAAATGAGCTAGAGGATAGGCGCAAGCAGGCCTTATAATCAGTAAAAGGACGCGAACCCTGATAAAAGATCATTTAAGAAAAGAAACACACGAAGGTCTATAAAGGGAGAGAAAACGACTGCCGTGAATTTGTAAGAAGCTATCAGTATCGAAATGGACCATCAAAGAGGATTTCAACAGATGGAGCCGGGAATTGGTAGGGTCCAAGTCACAGGATGACTGTGAGGATGAAAATGCACTGCTGGCCACCAGCAAGAGTGGCTGCTGAGAGGTGTGGTCATGAGCTCATGTAGAATTGGAGGAGGGGTTGGAAGAAATTGTAGGAGTTCTATGCTAGGTGGTGGCTTCCTGGGTATTTTTATTATATTTACATAAGTACACATTTAAACGTACTACTTTATTTAAGCTGTACCCAAGTGACATTGTGCTAAGAGAAAAGCTAATAGGCTGGAATTCTGATGGAAATTAATTTAGTCTGAAGAATTGAGACTAGCTGCATGAATGAAAGTGGCCAATAAGAAAACTATTAAAAGATAACTGAAACATTTGTTGATGGAGTTTTAATAGAACATCTTGTTACAGGATCCAGCAACACTTCCTTTATTTATGAATTTTTATTAAGAGTACTAAGAAGTGTTGGCTCGTAGTGGTAGTAACAGCCAATGGAAGGAGCAAAAATATTGAACGACAACAAAAGTTGATGAAATAAGTTTCTACAATAACGACGCCGTTCTGAGTTGATGGCTATCTCTTGGGATAAGCTGTGAGGGGAATCAGGAAAGTGATCCTGCTTTCGGAGTTCGTTGGAAACATTTATGAGCTGGCGGTGAGAGAATTCGTTGTGAGGATTTGTGGTAGATGGCTTTGGACTTAGCAGTGAAGTTGGCCATGCAGTCAGCTTCTGCACATGGGAATGGGGCTGAGGGTTTGAAAAGAGAGGCGACTTAAACGTTATGGCAATTGCTAGAAAGAATGGGGTAACGTATAATGAATGAAAGGCTGTCCAAGCCATATCCAGAGCTCGGGTGAACTTGAAGCAATATAAATTTATAGTAAAGTTATGTTCCTTCAGAAAAGATTCCCCCAGTCACATCAGATCAGCCCGTGGCAATGGAGGTAAATGGGGCAGCAGTAGCAACGGAATGAAGGAAATAAGCGGCAGAAGTTAGTATTGTCCTTCCAAACCAATACTCCAGTTTTGCCATTAAGGGCAACCTAGGGGTTAGTTTTTTTTATTTAAGACATTTAAGCAAATGACTTCTCACTCTCTCTCCGCCTTCTTTCTTTGTGTTGGAGCATGTGATGTTTGTGGAGGAAGGGACAAGGAAAAAATGCCTAACTATTGAGGCTCTTGATATCCCATCAGGTATAAGAGGAGCTTATGAGTTTCCGAGAATAATGAAGACTCAAAGATACATATACATGTATGTGTGCATAGATGGAGAGCGACCTGAAGTTTACTTACAATGAAAAAGGGAGTGACCTCTCGATCAACTATAGATGTTATATTAATTTCACCCGTTCTTTCATTAACAATAAAGATTCCGTAAGGTGGTTGATCAATTCCTACACCAGAGATGCGATATGTCACTTTCTGGTTTGCAGCACAGTCTGAATGAATCTGTGGAAGGAGAGCAAGGAGTAGGAAGATATTACAGTGGGCAAACAAGGGGTGGGCTCTGTGTTGGGCTGCTGACCACAAGATCAGCGATTGGAAACCACCAGCCACCCCAGGGGAGCAGGAGGAGGCTTCCTATTCCTGTAAAGACTTACAGTCTCGGAAAACCACCAGGGCAATTCCAGCCTGTTCTCTAAGCTTGCGATGAGTCAGAATTAACTCTATGTCAACGAGTAAGTGTGACTCAGTATATTACAGCCATCGTTCTTGAGAATCATTGAGCGTGGGGTCCAGGTTATCAATTGGGAAATGCTTTCTTGGATAAGTATAATGATTACAACTCTAGTATTTTCCATGGTAACCGGCAAGGTGATCAAAGAAACTCAACATTCTATTTCTACTCAAGAAGAGAAAAATAGAACAACTTATATAATTAGACATCTCCCATTTTCATTGGCCCTTGTACTTTACAAAACAATGCATTTTTCAAAATTCATTAAATAACTCTTTTAAACATCTGGAACTTGAAGTAGCACATTATCATATGCATTAATGTCACCGGTATAGTGAATTGATGCTGAACTTTGAGTGCCTATAAATTTCAGTTTACACTTTAGCGGCTTCAAGTTTTGGAATTTGAGTGATGCAGGCCCGATCTGTACCTTAACGTTTTATTAAGATAAGTTCTGCACTCTCCTGAAACTGTCAGGTATCGGCGGACTTGTTGTCGTCATAGTGAAAAGCCCTCCGGAAGTGTTTGTGCTTTCAGCGGATACTTACTTTGGCAATTGGGTTTCTTTTGGAGTTGTCCTCGCCTTCCCGACAGGCGGCAGCGAACTTGATCCATTCACGTTTTTGCCTTCTGATTGAATGCCATTTGATGGTGCCATTTTTAGCGTTATAATCTCTTACCTGGAATGAGCATGATCAAGTAATGTAAAAAATAAAATACAAGTATCTATTAACTTTTACTGGTAGTTCACTTTGATTGAGATTTTGGAAAAGGGGAAATTAGAATATGAAATAGAGGATAGTTCATTGGGACATTGGTGGTTTTGATAATCTATTAACCTAGCATAATATCAACTTTACTTATAAGGATGTCTTTTACTTTGGAAAATATATTTTTACAGATTATTTTCATTATAAAAAGAGATTTTGTATATGTTACCTGGACTCGAAATTCACTGTTAACTTCCACCACCACCTGCAAAGAAAAAGATAACCATAGTAGTTAGTTTATAACTGAATGCTTGAAAATTCATGCTGTCTAATCATTAGGGCTAGACCCATGAGTAGTCTTGTGAGTCACTGGGATTACTTCCAATGACAGGCTTGCTAAGGGGGAAATTATGCCCCAATGACAGATGGGATTACGTTACCTCTCAGATCTCAGTGGGCTGCTGAGAATCCCTTTGGGTTTTCCTTTTCAATTTTACCCCTTTACAAATATTACTTTTTAAAAAAAACCCATTTTTATTCTTAGCCTCTGAAGATACTAGTTATCATCTGAGGAAAGATATTTGAAGGTAGAACCCAGGGAAAATTTGAAACTTGGTTTTCATAATAAATCTGATGCCTGCTGAACTGAAGATATTCTGACACTATTAAGTGATATCTAATAATAAGTATTAGTACAAAAAAAATTCAACTATGGTTTCAGGATCTGACACAACAAGATGGAAGAAGGAAAGAAAAAGTTTGGAGCAAAGAAAGAATATCAGCAGGAAGATATTTAGGAAACGACAGAGTATTTGTTCCTTCATTTTCCAATTCTAGATGGAAGATTTTTTGGTTTTCTTAAAAATTTGAAGATAATTATTTTTCATTTGCTTTTGAAATATGAAAATTAAAAAAAACCTGAAATAAAAGCAAATGCTTCCCTTTATGTAAGAGTTTAGAAGGGACATTTTATTGCTTACAGCCATTTAGTGTAGATGGTATCATTGCATCCTTCCCTAGCGAGGAGAGGAAATTGCAGGCGTGCAGGGAAAAGATGCTGGGGAAGCCATTTCCACTAGTCTTTTCTTCTGCATTAGCAATTTCCTTAGTCAAAAAGATGACTAGGTCAAGCAGAGTCCTGCTTCACTGAAGCTTTGGTATTATAGGTATTTTTTTGTGAGAAGTTAGGATGATTTAAATTTTTGTCTAAAACCACAGGTATTTCTAAAATAACAGGCAGGTAAATGTTGAATTTAATGTATCAAAATACTTGTTTCAGACATTGTACAATGTCTATCTGAAACTTAGGCGTGAGTTGGTAGGGTAGTTTGTATTCATTAGGTTTTAAATTGCATGTTAAATCTATTAAATTCTTAGTTTTTATTTCTCCTTACATAAACAAGTTTAAACTTAGAATTTGATTTCTTCCAAATTGTAAAATATAAACACTGTTGTGATTACAACTTGACTTAATTGTCATTACTGCTATTAGAAAAATATATAATAATACATTTGAATAATGATCCTTAACAAATATAATAAATTATTATCTTCACATTTTATTAATTATAATATTTATTATTTATAATTAATAAATCATTATAAATTACAATTTACTTTCATAATTAAAAAAACATAAAACTTTTAAGTGCATATTTTAAAGTTTACTTTCATAATTTAATAAAATATAAAACTTAAGTGTCTAAGTGCATATTTTTTAGATTTTGCCACAATTGATAATTTAAAAAATACATATTTAGTGTTAATATGATGTATAAAAGGATGATAGGAAATGAATACTTAATGTTCCTCATTATCACTGTTACAATTCATTGATTGACAACTAAATACTACACAATGCGTTTAGAGAAATCTACACATCCAATCTACACAGTAAGCACGTGGGGCAGACACTCTTACAATCTCCATTTTACAGATGAGGAAACAGAGGGTTGGGTATTAAGTTATGATGAAAAACATGCCAGCACAATTTGATGTAAATTTGTAAAGTGTAAGATAATTTGTTTACCTAGGCAGATTACTAACTAAAAAATGATTCAAAGATTGACACGATCATTTTGAGAATTGCAGACCTTTTGATTTCAACCTTTGTAAAATTATTTCTGTGATTAGAAATGCTCACAATAAAATAACAATAACACTTAAAACAATAAAACTAAAAGAAAAAAGGAAGTTCAAAGTCAGCATCTGAGAAGTTATTTTTCACACCAGTGCAGTGTGTCATTCTTTCCCCAGGGGCTCCCTGAGCCCTTTGTTCCTACGTGCACGTTTGTGGGTGGGAAAGGGGTTGACGGGATAGCTTGCTTGTCTGCTTGGGAGTTATTTCTTCATAACTATAGAATTGTGTACTCAGCTGTTACCTGCACTGCACTTCTCTCACCACACTGGAGTGTCAGGACCTGCTGTTTGTTTTGGATCATGATGCTCGATGACTCACGGCCATTTTCAGGTTTATGAAGCTGGGTCATTCTTTTTCCCATGAGAGGTAAATTAGGCAGGAGACCAAGTAGGTTTCACCACCGAGTCATGCTCTCAGTGTCTTGGTCATTAAAAACACTGCCAAGTCTTCCAAATGTGGCATGCTCACATAGCTGCTTCCACCTTTGGCTCAGTGGATGGTCTGAAACAAAGTCACTGTGGAATTTTGGAATGGAACACAGCAACCTCAAAAGAGCACTTGATACGGTTGGGAGACTTCGATGTGTTTTTCAAATTTTTCAGGACTTTCGTTTTCTCGTGTAAAAAATTATGAAACACATAGACACACATTTGAAAGACAGGTTTTCTGTTCTCACACCACATTCCTGTCTGAAGGAGAGAAATAATGGAGATGGGCAGGGTTTACAATTGTGGGTTTAAAAACAGGCTTTGACACACTTGGCAGGAGTGATGGGAAGAGGCAAAGATGACAGGGTATGAGGGTTTAGCATCTGCTGCATCAGAACAGGTTTCCCTCCGTGGAAGGGGAGTACGGTGAGCCTGAGTGTATCCAGCTTCCTATTAGTCTGTGCGGCCACATGAGGCGGAGCTGTAGCAGAGCAGTGGGAGGAGGAGCAGACAGGAAAAGATCAAGGGAGCGATACTACAAAGGTACAACTGACCAGGGCTTAAGAACAGATGGAATGTGGCAAACAAACTAGAGACAAGTCTGAGAGCTCTTAATTGGGAGACTGGGAATACAGAAGCAGCAGAAATAAGCACGGGAGGGCACACTGATTTGACATGACAGAGAAATGATCAATTTGAAATCGATCTCAGGACTGTAGACAGATGTTCAGGCTAAATACATAGATTGGAAAACATCTGCTCATTCACGAGAGTTGGAAATAAGGGGAAACGTGAATAGAGAGAAGCAAAAGTAGAGGATAATGGAGCCCTGTGGTGCCGTTGGCTTGGCGTTGGGCAGATAACTGCAAAGTCGACAGCCCAAAGCCGCTGGCTGCTTCAAGAGAGAAAGATGAGGCTGTCTGCTCTCCTAAGCTTCTCCAACAGCACCACTAGAAGTTAGAATTACTCAATGGCAGGAGGGGCAAACTGGAGAATAGAGCAATGAAACATTGTGTGACCAAGGATGTACCTGGGGAAATTCCTACATTGATATAATGGGACACAGCAGCACCAAACAAGCAGATAGAGATCTTGTGGTGGTCTAAGAAACAGGCAGAAGAAGTACTTACTGCCGTGTCACAGATGTCACAGCAAGGAACAATTGAAAGTCAGAAGAGATGCAAGTAAGTGCGCCAATGCCAAAAAGCAGAGCAAAGTGAGTTCTAAGGAAAATGTGGAGGGTTTCCATGACCTGCCAGAAAATGCTTATTGTTGTCTAGAACAAGAACTTGCTTGATGTACAGAGAGGAAAGGAACATAGAGATGGTCGCTTTCTCCAGAAACTTAGTGATAAGAGGAAATAGGGAAGACAGTGGAATTGAATGTAGTAGCATTCAAGGAAAGTGTTTGGAAGGGGAAGATGCACGGATATTTGAAAGCTAAAAAAGAGAGAAAGAGATCCTGATTGGAAGAAGGCGAGATGATGGTGGCTGGAAGTGTCCTGATCCAGAGAACAGCAGGAGGGAATCAGCTGAAAGAAAGGAATTCAAAGAAAGAGGGCAAAGAAGGGAAGTACGCTGGAGATGAAAATCCACAGATTAAGAGAGAGAGAATGAAGGACATTATCCTGAATGATTTCGACCTTGCTCCTAAAGATAGAGTAAAGTTATTTTCTTACAAAGAGAGTAGTTTGGATCCAGAAATAGTTTGGAATGATGGTGGTGGAGATCCCCCTTATAGACGAATATAACGACTATCTGGGTATACCATACCTCTTTTGCTGATTATTCAGTGGGTAAATCTGGGTTAGTCATGTATATTGGTATCTGTGTATAAAACTAAAGCTACTCCTAAATTCTAAACGTTAATGAACACAGAAAACAATTCCCCTGCAGGCCATCCTCAATGAGTCCTCCCTTCACCTCTATTTTAGAAGTCAATCCATTTATTTTAAAAAGTCACAAAATTGCATGCTAATTGTAATGATTCTCTAACCAGAGTTATTTGAAGGTGTTTCTTAGTCCTTTGATCTTGAAGTTGATAATTCTGTGCATATAACAAAGGTAGATTTGAGAAAAACAGTAATTTTTGTAGTACAACTATCTTGCTTCTAATAACTGTGAGGTAGTGTTTCACAATAAAAACTAAGCAGTTTTTATAAAGCCTCAAATTCTAGTATATTTAACCCTTCTTCTTCTAACTCACATCAATGAACTTGAAGCAAACCTAAAAATACAACAATTTGTTTCTTTTAAATAACATCATTTGTCTTTCCTTCCTCTTGCTTCTGACAAAGGGCATTCATTAATACAGGGTTGATGGGTTCATGGGTTGACGTCTCTTCCTGTTCATTGATTGATTGATTTAACAAGCATGTATTGAATGCTTATTATGTGGACCCACGCCTGGATTAAGATTTTGAAACATTATGGTGGTCTCTAAAAACAATTTAGTGATAATATTCTATGAAATGTAGAGTAAATATAATACTATCTAATGCTACACCATGACAATAAGCATTCAAGAAATCAAACACAGTTATTGCCTTGTTAATTTTTTTCCATGTTAATTTTTGATGACGTTTTTTGGAGTGTGTGGGTGAAGAGAAATATAAAACACCCCAAAATATCCTTTTGGTGTCTCAGCTTTGTGTGATGAGATGCCCACTGGATAATCTTGCACTGAAGCCAGGCATTAGGAGAGATTCAAAGGTGAAACACACAGACCCTCTTCTCAAATAACTCCCAGTCAAGTAATTTAATGAGCAACAGACAGTCATTGACTTGTGGGGAAGTGGTTTTTCAGTGCACACTAAACCACTTGCCGTCCAACAGAAGGCAAGTCCGTGTGTTGCAGAGCCAACTGCGCTCCATTAGGTTTTCATTAGGCAGTGTCAAAGGCTGCAGTCAGTTCTTAGAGATGGAGAGCGCTGACCCACAGCAGACGGGCCTCAACTCATTGAGGAATTTCCATGCCAAGCATAACCGCAAGAGTTGTATGACCTGGCACTCTGCTAGGGTGTGCCCTAGAACAGTAGGCCCAAGGACCTTGCCCAGCTTGCTCCCGACCTATACATTAGGCAACTGCGATGTTAGGATATGGAAATACTCAGCAATAATATCCTTAAGAACGTATCATGGAGAAAGATCTATCAGAAATTAAATTGCTGCAGACAAGAGTGTCATTTTCCTGATGGTCAGTTCTACAATCCCCTCCCACTCACCCCCACTGCCACCCGCTCTCCGCCCCTTTTAAATGATGTCAGAGTTTCTCACTCCTTTAACTGTTTTCAACACCTAAATTAGCGATGGCAAAAGTTTACTCAGTGACCACTCAACCCAACGAATAGTAGTGTCTGCAAGTGCATTTGTTGAGGACGATACTGAGATCTTATCTAGACCTATGTGTAAAGTATATCGATCATTAGGAATGTTTACAAAAGGGGCCCGGCTCTTCTTGGCTAAAGTGCTTTATGGTTTCAGCTTGATAATGGCCTATTTTTTTGGTTTAAACCCACAGAAGTTTCTCATTGTGTATTTGTCACAAAAACAAAAGAACTTATTTCTATAGAAGTCAAAGGTTCAAGGATTTCTTTGTAGTGGGGAAAAAATTTGCCACTTAACAGATTGTGCTGTGTGTGTGTGTGTGTGTATTTGTCACAAAAACAAAAGAACTTATTTCTATAGAAGTCAAAGGTTCAAGGATTTCTTTGTAGTGGGGAAAAAATTTGCCACTTAACAGATTGTGCTGTGTGTGTGTGTGTGTGTGTGTGTGTAAGTGAGTGAGTGAGTGAGAAGATGATAGTCCTAAATCTGGAGTGAAATAATAAGGTGTTTAAGAACACCACATAAATGGGGATGATTATTCTAAAGACAGTTCACAAAGGTCACGGAATGTGTGCAGCTTTCATTTCTATGAAACATGTTATTGAAATACTCATTTCTATTGTGTCTATCACTACAGAATATGAACAAAGCATACACCTGGAATTCACAGTATGGTGAAAGAGTTCTCTCTTTTCTTCTCTTCAGTGGGGTTTGTGAGTCTATGTTAGTTCTTCTATTGCTGTAAGCTTCTATGAACACAATTATGGAAATTTACGGTGTCTAGTTCAAGGACTATGTAATGCAAGGTGTGTGTGTGTGTATTATATATATTCTGTGCTTTATTCTGAATGCTAAAAAACACTCAGAAAATTTCCTGCTTATATTCTAAAGAGCTACATCTAAATTAAATTTATGGAGGTAGGTTATCAAGTGGTCAGAAAATTTTCTTAAATGCTATGGAAAGTGAAGAAAATAGACTTGTATGAATAACTGAAGAAATCAAATAAATCTGGGTGGTAAATTATTAAATAATGGTCATACTTTTGTTCTTTGAACTTAAGCTGCGTATGTTTTAGAGAAAAAGACCTTGATATGTGTATTGACTTAACTGGACTAATTGGACCCAACAAATGTGTAAGTAATTTTTAGAAATCATTAGACCATGGAAGTTCTTCTACTGAGCAGACCACATACACTTTACCATAGTTAAACCATTCACGCCAATTCCTTATATTTGGTGCATGAGGTAACATCATCTTCTGCCTCAGAGAAAGTACATCCTAATCTGCACCCTGATACTTCTCAAATACACAAATTTCACAGAAGCAGGAAAAAAAAATAAATCAAGTGGATTTGGCTGCTGTGTGAGAGCAGGGGTGGGCTGTTGTTTGTCTGTAAGCAGACTTGTCTGAATATGGACACCGTCATGCTGTAATCTTTGTTCCGCTGCAAGAGGCTCTTCCAGTTTTATTCTCCCTGATCCAGCCCACTCACGTTAACAAGATCCGAAACCTTCAGGAATGTTGAGCAGCCTAGCCATTATGCTTGTAAGCCACCCATTCTCAAATAGATTTGCTCTAAAATTTAATATCTTGTAAATGTTACAAAGCTCTTCGTAATTGATCAACTATACTTCCTAAAATGGATTTTCATTAAGCAATGTTTACGTAGATTTTCTTTGTGTTGGTTAAGAGCCAACATTTATATTGAAGCTAAAAGAGTGATAATAGAAGAGGTTGCTGGAGGAGGGGCAGTTCTTTGTGGGTGTGAAGGTGGGGGTTGAATAGAAAGCAATCATTTTTAAAGCAAAAGAGAGATTAGATAAACTCAAAACAACAACTATCAAAATCATTTGGTTAAATCAGTCGTACAAACAAATCATGATTTGCTAATAAACCTGAGAAATTAAAATGATTTACCAACAACTAAACACATGATTTCCATGTGTCCACATGGAAATTCATAATTAAGTCCTTTGAGAAATAATTCTCACAAGAGTGATGAGAAGCTTATGATTGAATTCAAGGAAAATATGTCAAAACAAACCAAAAAGGCACCAATGTTCAGTAAATATTAATACCCACCACGAGAATATATGCTGTTGGTAAAGGGATACATTGTATGGAAGGGTGACAAATTCAGAAGTGGTAAGCAAAAAAAGAAATTCGTAGGATATAATAAATAAGAAATCATCATTAAAATCAAGAAATAAGGCATATCTTATCGATTTAATGAAAGTGAGAAAAATAAATATCTGAACAAATGTGGGTCACTTGAATCGCTAGTAGGCCTAAATGGGTCATAATTATATGACCTTAAAGAGAAAACCATTTGGCTTCTTGACAATACACAGATGCTCACCTGTTCAAATGGCACATTGTATAATGCAGGTTGGTCCCCACCACACACTGAGCTATGCTAGCAACTGGTCCTAAACATCCTAAAAGTCCATGGAATGCAGTAGTTTGAAGGGCAGCTTGGCACCAAAGCCACCAGTTCATTGATGCTCATTAATAACTAAATCAACTATGTATTACCCCTCTTAATAAGCTAATTTTCAACTAACTACTATGCCTTGAATAAAAACATTAAGTTGTTATACAAACCCAACATTCCAGTTCAAAAAAATTAAACAAGTAGAAACAAATATGAACCAGGGCACGACCTCCCGCCAAGGTGGAGGGCAATTTCCCTGGCACCTGCCTCTTGGGATTACATTAACCGTACTGTGAGAAAATCGAGGTAATACACTGGTGTTGCTTTCAGTATCTGCCCTAACTGGAGAAAGCTAGTAAGGGGGTAAGGGGAGCTATGACAAATGGTTCATTACATTTGACCTTCTAATGCAGAGCTTTTATGTCAAAGAGCCAGTATAGTAATAATTATACTTATACCTTAATTATAGCCATTCTTTACCTTACAATGTTATTTATATATCTACGACACTATCTTTTTTTAATGGAAAAATACCATTTTAAATCACATCCATTAAATAAATAAATAAATGGATAGATAGGTAAATAAATAAATAAATCGCATCAATTTAGGGGTGTGGGGCATCCAGTATTAGTGGTGTGCATCATTACCACACAGGGAACTAAGGGCTGGTTTGGATAGGAAGACCAGTCACAAACTGCTGTGATTTTAATTTGTGTAAGTCCTATTTTTATGTTTTAAAATTTGCTGCAAAGTTACTAAAAGAACATAAACAGCTTAGGTTCAACACATCAGAACATGCCTGTGCTATTTAGTTTACAAGCCCATTTGCAAAAGCGAATTTGAGTTATCCAGTGCTACTAAGTAGTGATGTGGATTTCCTCAGCTCAGTATTTTCCTAGCATGACTAGTATGGACTTCAGCCTGAGAGATATGACAGGATGAGTTGACACTGATGCATTAATAAGATCTAGTCTTCAATTAAAGAGAGAAGCCCTGTGTAAAAATCTAGTTCATAAAATCACCTTGTCATTAGCATAAATTTTTAATGGGTTTAGGTTAGAAATAGCACTTTCTGAAAAGTGCTCATTTACCACGAGATCAACTGAGCAGGATTTTCTGACAGAGCCCACTTACCAGCAAAAGGAATAGCCCAGCCGCCGCTCTGAGGAGGTGCCAGTCCATCCTGCTGGGTCCGTTCACATCCAAGACCAAGGGAGCTTTGTTGTTCTCAGTTCCTTTTCTTGGCCCCACTCAGCTGGTGTCTGATTAAACTAATTTCTCAGTCGATGTTCTTACATGCAGGCTTTGAGGTGTTGCTGCCTTCCTCTGGGAGAAGGACTGGCGGTACGTATAACCAGTTCGGATCCCCACCCTAAAAACTTGGGCTGGTCTCACCGAAATGCTTGACAAGATCATCATTGCTCCAGGTAAAAGCTCTGGGACACACCCTGCTGCCGGCTCAAAAGCAGCTCTCTGTGGAGCATCCAGCTCAACGCAGTCGCTGCATGTTTTTGGAGGCAGGCATTTGAATTGACTATGGGGGGGCTGTACAGTGGAGGGGTGCTCACAGGGTGACTTATTTAAGGTAGTTTTGCTCCTTAAATAAGGGTAAGTCACCTGTGGGTGTTTATAGCTTTTAAAGAGGATTGTGTCCCCATGATCATAGCCAAGCCCTGGGGACAAAATAACAAAAAAATAAATAAACTTTCCATTTCAGGAAATGTTAGGAAAGATCAGTATTTTCTGAGTTGTTTGCGCTGTTAACATTTTCGTCCTCTTGCACGTGACCCTCATTCGAGGTGTTCGCTACTCAAACAAGGAAGTTCGGGTACTTACCTTGGTGAGGACCTCTCCACGGACCGCCGTTCTCTTTAAGGGACCATCCTGACACCAGGGAAACCTCCATTTTCTCTGGAAATGAATGTTTCCTCCTGGCAATGGTTTTTCTTTTCAAGAGTCTGTTTTCTTCAAATGCAGTGACACAAACCTTAAAAAACCACCGGGCTAGATTTAAAGTAGATCATTGAAACTACTAATTAAAGCTGTGGTGATAAGTTTTCAAACAAGGTTCCGTGCTCTAAATATTAAGGTAACACAGAAAGCTGCTCTACAGGTGAGGTGGGTGAAAAGTCAATGATGATTCCCAAAGCCAGAGCCAAGAATCTGGATAGTGAGCCAATTAGAACCTGGGGAACGCACTGAAGAAATGGCTGCCCACACATGCATAGGAAATTGAATGCAGCTCTATGTTTTGTGAAAGTAAATCGTGACCTACATGAGGCAGTGTTTGAACATGTTCTTGGGATATTTCCTTTTCCCTGTCAGTTTCCCCTAGAAATATTGTGGGTGGGAGGAAGCCTATAGAGGCTGGGTGCTTTCAGAGTTTGGAGTGGCAGTCTGGGACAAGGGACAGATCCATTAGGATATTGATCATGGTCGAAAGGATGCCAGAAAGGTCTCTGAGGAGGAGGATCTCTCAGAGGGACAGAGGTTTCACAGAACACATCATTTCCCTGCTAAGCGTGTCATGAAAAACACTGTTCCACTGTGGCTAGACATGCCATGCCACTGATGATGGAACACAGAGGAAGGGAGAGAGGTTGCTAATTACTTTTCCTTGAACTAAGTAAGAATGCTCGTGGTAGCGTGATTGTTTTGAGGAAATCAATCACTCTCATCAGGAGAGTTCCGAATGTGGAGCATTTTCTTTGAAATTTATGGAAAACTGAAATGGGAAGTAAGAAATTTTAACACGCAATCGTATGAGTGAAGGAATGTACTAGACTTACACAAAATGTTCAAAAGAAGATGCTGAAGACAAATTTCGCATTAGTTATTTATGATAGAATGTGAATGTCGATCAATGGCGTAGTCTGAGCAAGGTGTTGGTAGTAGAAACTACTCCTAGTTTACTGACGACCAGACAGGAAAGGATCCACTCCATGGCTTTCCAGTGGCCAGTGACTGTCTTAATCATCTTGGATTTGGGCACCACCTTCATACATAGATGACTCTTCCTCAGCTGAACCCTGACTCCTCCCCTAACCAAATGCCCTGACCCAACAATCCCAACCAGCTACAGCATTCCTAAGGCAGCCACCTCTCCAGCAGCTTTCTGGAGAGGAGGTGTGGCAGAACCCTAATATTGCAGAACAATTGCTCCCCTAACAGTCACATAGGCGCTGGTCATCGTAATCACAGATGGGAGAGGGCTTTATGATTCACCAACCCTCCCCTTTGTCTTCTTTCCTTTTTCTCTTACTCCCTGTAATTGCCTCAGTACAATGCTCTCCTGTAAGATTTTCTGAAATGAGGGAATGTTCTTCATCTGTGCTATCCAATATGGTAGGCACTGATCATATGTGACGATTGAGCATTTGAAATGTGGCTGACATGATTGACAGACTGAGTTTTTCTTTTCTTTTAGTGAATTTGAATTGGTATACCCACAGGTGGAGAATGATTACAATATGGGCAAAGGTACAGGACTCAGAGCATTTCAATTTCATTATCTTTTCTTGATCCGAGTTTGAATTCTTTCTTTTAAAGCCAACCTTTTTAAATTAAATATACTCTTTTTCTTTTCTTTTTTTAAAAATCAATTTATTGAGGCTCATACAATTCATCACAATACATAGATCAATTGTGTAAAGCACATCTATACATTTGTTGCCCTCATTATTCCCAAAATT